CTACAACTTCAGTACAACTATAATATAAGCACAAGTACAACACCATCACTGTTACAACAGTAGCACAGCTACGTCATCAACACAACAACAATATACTATAGCGCGAATGTTAAACTCATAAAAACCCATCAAATGAAACAAATAGTCCTTAACTAAGAATTATAAACTTATAAATAAATCAATGAATATTAATCCAAGTCGTTCCCTTGTGGTATGCAATTTTTCGTTATTTGAATCCCCCCCCCCCCCCCCCAACCCCCGGACCATCGTTGTAAACATTTGTGTTTAGTCCGATCTTATCAGACACTCATCTGTTATCCCTATCGACAAAAATTGTTTCCTCTCCACACAACTCGGTCAAAGGCATGGTTTTCCCACGACCTCAATACGCGCATCATTCATGTTCCGTTTGCACATATCTTTATATCGCAGTAGAGGTTGGCCTTGACATCTTCTACCCGTACTTAACTCACCATAAATGATGTTCTTAGGGATTCTGCCATCCTCCATTCTGCAGGTGTGACCTAGCAACGGAGCCTTCGTAGACTGAGCATTGAGAAGACTGTTGTAGTACCTGCTTTTTTCAGTACCTCAGTGTTAGTGATTTTGTTCTGCCACTTAATGTCAAGTATTCTTCTTGGGCATCGCATGTAACAGCTATTTAGCCGTCTCCCCTGATGCGAATAAGTTGACCACGTTTCACTGCCATAAAGCACAGTGCTGAAAACGCAAGTCTCACAGACAAGAGTTTTTGTTTTAATTGTGAGCTTTCTGTTCTCTCAAACTTTCTTTGTTAATCTGCTCATTGTTGTTGCTGCCTTGCCTATCCTGGTGTTGATTTCTTGGTCCACTTTATTAGATAGTTTATTATTCACTGTGGAACATAGATTGGTAAAACGGTCTACTGTCTCAAGCTCTTCACCGTCAATGTAGACTGCAGGTCTGTTGTTAACACCTTGCACTATAACCTTTATCTTCTTTTTGTTGTTGTTGATTGTTAGTTCAAATTCACAGCATGCATCAGCAAAGGCAGACAGTGAACATTGCAGCTCCTCCTCTGCGTGTGCAGTTTTTGCTGCATCATCTCCAAACAGCAGTTCTCTGATAAGTACCTTTGTTACCTGGTTTTGGCCTTCAGCCTGCGAGCATTGTAAAGGATGCTGACATATCGAGAATGGATGAACATACCATACAGCTGGCATGTTTCACAAGAAGTGAGAAGTATATTACAAAGAGAGTAGGAGCAAGTACACATCCCTGCTTCACTTCAATGTTGATTACAAACTCCTCTGATGTTAGACTATCAAAGTTGGTTGTACCTTTCAAACCTGAGTGGAACGACTCAATAATGCTCAGTAGAGTAGGCGGACACCCAATCTTCTTTAGTGTGTTCAACAAGTCGTTGGCACCCTGTCTAGCTACCTTTTGCAGATGATTTCTAGCTGCTCTCAATTCGCTGAAAGTGTTCCTTATTCTTTCCTTGTTTCTAATGAGTATAAACTTTTTTCTGTCAATTAAAGTTTGAAGTGTCTGGCTATATTCTTCAAACCAGTCCTTACTTCTAAGTTCTCTAATCCCATAGACTTATGCAGCTGTTTTGAAGACAGTCTCTTTAATTGCATCCCATTTCAGGCTTGCTGTAGCGTTATCATGGATATCAGTGAAAGCATCGTCACGCTGTTGTAGAAACTCACAACACTTTTTAGGGTCTTTAGTTTTGGAAATATTTAACCTGGGGATATATTTCTTCTTTAGTGAAAATTCTCTTTGGTTTCATCCGAACTTTAGTAGCCACTAGGGAATGATCAGCACTGTGGTAGCTGCGAGTTAGTGATTCACAGTTCAAGTGCTGCCTCTTTGTGAGAAGAAGGTCCAGCTGGTGCCAGTGGCCAGACCTTGAATGTTTCCATGACACCATATGGCAATCTTTAGTTTTGAAAAAAAAACAAAACGGGTTTGTGATGCACAAGTTACTTCTAGTGCAGAATTCCAATAGTCTGCACATTTTCACTCATATAGTCGACATTATATTTTCCAAGACAAACTGGTCATGAGCTTGGTCTGACCCATGGCGACAATTGAAATCACTAAGTTTATAGAGGCCGTCCAGTTCCTTATAAAAAGAACCCTTTACATCTTCTGTTGACGTTAGAATGGGTGATTATGCAGTAACAAGGGTGATAAAACCGCTTGAGGTAGACAATCGTAGAGACAATGTTCTGTCTCTTCCTCCAGTTGGACTCTCAACTGATCCCAACAGTGAATTCTTTACTACAGATCCCACTCCATGCTTCGGATTTCTTTCTGGCCATTGCCTTTATTTAAATATGTATAATTATTGTCTCTAATGGATCCTTGCTCTGTCAGACGTGTTTTCCGTAGGCCAGCAATATCTATGTCAAGTTTATTGAGTTCGGCATCAATGATAGCCGTTTTTCTCACATCATTAATATTTTCCAGATCAGTGTAAAAACGGAGACCCATTGTCCTCACATTCCAAGAGCCCATCCAAAGCTTGAAGTTGTTTCTTTTTATTGCCTGGTGCATTGTTTTTACTGCCTCCTTTTCGAATTTTGTCTTAGCTCCAAGCAGCAATTGAAGCATGCAAGCTGTGGCGGATTAACACCATATTGGCTGTAGGCTGACCAGCTTGGGGTGGGCGGTAGCTGATAAGTGACATTCGAAGATGTCTCCCACCGTCAGAGGCAACCCGTGGTGCCCTCATCTTCGACAACTGACAAGGACTTATAGCCCGTAACTGCTGTCTCTCGATTTGTTTCCCAGACCAAATACGGCCAGGGATGAAGTTCCTCCTCTCAATAGCTCAAAGCCTGGGAAGTATTGTAGTGAACATATGTTGCCCATGCATAATGATCCCTCTCTCGACCTGACTTGTTTCAGTGAACACTAAAGAGGCACAAGATCATCACGGTTTGAAGAGAAGGGTTCAGCAGGAAATGACCATGGGATCTGCTAGACCCTCAACACTCAGGGTCGGTACGACACCGACATGCAATCAGGCACTTATGGTGCCATCGGAGTAGGACCTGCGATTGCTGCTGAAGATGGGGAGGGGGTAGCTTATAACATATTTAAAGTGTTAACATATTCTAGTGTCTACATTTTTAAAAAAAATCTCAGCATGTTTAAAGTGTCACTATTTCCTGGTTCCCCTTGAAGTCATGGTCGACCTAGATGCTCTAGGCCCGATTATAAAAACATGCCTACACGAAGATTCCCGTCCATTACCTTTGGGGATGCAGTCACGCATTTGACCGCATCTCAACCACGACTCCCTTCGAATTTTAATAGATCGCTTTTTCAGTTGGTCCCCTTCTGGTTGCTACCTAAAGTTTTCCCATAAAAAAATCTCTGTCTGGAAAGAAGACCAACAAAGCAGATCTCAAATTCATCATTTACTCTTCAAAGACGTTATAAATAGAAAATATGTGACGGCTAATCAAGCAACTCCAATACGAGTAAGGACCCCTTTGTACACAAGACACCGCGGTAGACCTGAATGTCTTTGAAAGCTACCTTGAAACAGCTTTAAACGCTACCCTGGACCGATTCAGAAGACACACCTGAGGCCGGACATGGTGCTTCTCGCATCAACAACTCACCAGCTGATACTGGTTGAGCTAAGAAGCCTCCCGTATGAATCAAAATTTGAGGAGCACCACGTGCACACGCTAGAAAAGTACAGTGATCTGGTAGAAAGTCTTAGGTATGAGGACGTATGGTACACACTTCGCCTTTTTGCCGTCGCGGTAGACGCATGAGGGTTAGTGGCTAAAGGCGCATACGATGTCCCGAGGTAGATTTGTATGCGAGGCAAAAATGACATACTGTTGAAAAACAGCATTTTTATCATGAACAGATATGACCTTGGTAGAAGGAGCTCCGTCGGCTCTGTGGCTAAGTCGATTCGAACGCTTCATAATGCCGGGATGCCGGGTTCGATCCCAGCTGCGGGCCACAGGCCTTGCGTTGGTTTTGACAGTGGTATCGAGAAAGCCGACCGTCTAGAAGGAATGACAAAATACTGGACGTAAATTTGCCTAGCAAAACCACACAACAGCCAGGCGCTGTTGGGGTTGGTTCTGCAACGTCCTGTAAAGGATATACAACTAACCAAAGAAGGAGCTCCTTATTTGAGTGACAGCAGTCCACTTAAAAGAAAGAACTCTAAACCAGTGGAAAGGTTTACCTTGACCACGAACTCAGGAAGCTCAGTCTGATAAAAAAAAAAATTTTCAAGTCGGAGGTGCCGTGTCGAAAGACGCTATCAGTCCAGGATGTGTCACAGCTGTCTCTGACTACTACGGCACCCCATACCTTCTCATTATTGGGAGAATAAAAAGTGGAACAAAAAAAGAGGCGAATAAAAATGAGAAGGAGATGAGGAAATTAAAAAGAGGGAAGAGGAGAAGAGAAAAAGAAAAAGAAGAAAACGACGGTTTGTACTTTCTGGAAGAGGGTGTCAGTCTTAAACTAACATTACTCATAGAAGAATAATTTCTTCCGTCTTCCGACTTTCTTCTTCCTGCTTCGTTCTTCTTCCCTCTTGGTTCTTCTTCCTTCTTCCTTCATTTGTCTTCCTTTGTCTTTCCTCTTCATTTTTTTTCTTCTTCATTTTTTTTCTTCATTTTTCTTCCTTCTTTCTTCTTCTTTTTCTTCTTCTTCTTCTTCTTCTTCTTCTTCTTCTTCTTCTTCTTCTTCTTCTTCTTCTTCTTCTTCTTCTTCTTCTTCTTCTTCTTCTTCTTCTGTCAAGGGTCCACTTAATAGTGTTTACTCACAAAATGTTCGCTAATTAAAATAAACGATAATGCTGTCTTCTGTGTACATTAGAGACATAAACAGACAGATAAATACACTGGTCAGTAACGGAGCACAGTTCTTGTATCATAGCTACTCGGAGCTCTTTTTTGGAGCTGAGATAATCGTGCCATGCCGTGTAAATCTGGATGTGACGGAACAGATATGCCCGGGAAGCTGTGTTACGGCGACAGGTCTGTAACTGATAAGCAGAATAGAATTATTATATAAAGAAAATATAACCATTAGAAGATTAAAAATTATTTTTTATGATGTCTCCACAATGGAGTTTGGCTACAATCACTGCCAGCTCCAGATATAAGGCTGTACAGCTCAAACGGGAATTACCATTTCTGTGAGGCTGGCGTGGCCGGTCGGTGGTAACAAATGTTATCAAGTAGGTTTATACACAAATTGAACTACAGTTTAATTAATTTGAACCTTACCGGGGATTGAACCCGGAACTCTAGCACTTCAGGCCGACACCATGCCTCGAGACCACGCTGCCCCTGTTAGCTATTTAGTCAGTAAATCAAACAGGGATTGCATCAGAGCAGTGTAAAATAGCCAAGGTTCTTCGTAAATAACGTATCGGACATTACTAGGCAAATACGATTTACCGCACTAGGACATCACACAGAGCGAAAACTACATGGTGCCACAAAGTGTGCCACCATTCGCATGAGGATTCCCCGTGGAAAGGTCCCTGAAAACCCTATTCAACGGTTAGGTTATATGGATCACCCGGCAACAGATACTGTGGGGCTTGAAAATAACGACAATTTGCATCCCACATAGAGACGACGAAATGATAAAGCAGACACTACTAAATATGTCTCCCACAGCCTACCACAACGAGAGCTATATAGAACCAATGCTCGTCGATAAGTTTTCTGTTTAGACGGGGGCCGAAAACAGCTTTTGTCCGTTTCAAAAGTCAGTGGGAAAAGTAGAGAATTGGACAAAGGATTAGCTTTAAAACGTTCATCTATTTTTTATTTTATTTTCTCAGGTGAGAGTATAATATTGTGTTACAGAGCGGCATGCGAATAACAACTAATTAGGGTCAGATATGAAGTTCATCATTTCCAGAGTAAAAACCTAGGCATGACTGTAGAGGTGAGTATAGTTTACGCAGCAGAAGCTGTTGAATCCAAACAGCGATGTTCTGTCTGTCAGCCTGGCGGAGCATCCCCACACAGACCAACTGCCCTGCCATAACTGTTTTCAGATTGTGTTTCCTTGTCCTAGCATAAGTAGAGGTAGTTTTTTCATGTAAGCACTTTTCCGTTCAAAATCGTTGGGGTAACGTGGGACGTCAAGTTTGTGTACGCCATGCAACATTCTGTGACAACATGAACAATACTACCGACAACTGTTATTCAGAAGCTCAGTCATTTCTGTTTTTAAAAAAAACACAATTGTTGCAGCAGTACATTGTCTGACATTCAGACAATGAAATAACACTCATAATGTTAGCAAACCAACCAATATCATCAAAAAACCATTTGTGTGTGTGTGTGTGCGTGTGTGGTGAATAAGAAGAGCGTGGAAGGATAACACCAGTGCAACACCTCAACAGCCAATGGTTATGAAGAGCAAGATGCAGAACATTACATTTCCATCCACATCCTAAGCAGTAAAAAAGGAAGAACATTACTTTTCCATCCACAACCTAAGCAGTAAAAAGGGAAGAACATTACATTTCCACACACATTCTAAGCAGTAAAAAATGAAGAACATTACCTTTCGATCCCCACCCTAAGCAAAAAAAGGAAAGAACATTACCTTTCGATCCCCACCCTAAGCAAAAAAAGGAAAGAACATTACCTATACATTCACAACCTAAGCAGAAAAAAAGGAAGAACATTACATTTCCAGCAACATCCTAATCAGTAAAAAAAAAGGAAGAACATTACCTTTCCTATGGATGCGAAAGCTGGAAATCAAAGAAAACTCTAGACACAAAATTAGACAGTTTTGAAAATAAATGCCTTAGAAGAATACTAAATTTCAAATGGTCAGATTTCCGAACAAATACACAAATAAGGCAAGAATCCAGGCAAGAGTATGTGTCTAATTTTATACGAAAACGCCGCTGGAACTATGTCGGCCACGCCCTTAGAATGGATAAATCAAGACTTCCTTACCAAGCCCTCATTTGGACACCACAGGGGAAAAGATCTCGTGGAAGACCAAGGGAAACCCTACGTAGAACTATCATCAGGGAAGGCTCGCTCATGGGCCACTCAAACATCCGAGACCTACAACGGATTGCAACGAACCGCCATGCATGGAGAGTCATGACCTCTGCCCTATGTGCCGCACTCGACACAAGAGGAAAGACTAAATAAAAAATTACCTTTCCATCCACATCCTAAGCAGTAAAAAGGAAGAACAGGACCTTTCCATCCACATCCTAAGCAGTACAAAGAAAGAACATTACTTTTCCACCCACATCCTAAGCAGTAAAAAAGGAAGAACATTACATTTTCATCCACATCCTAAGCAGTGAAAAATGAAGAAAATTACCTTTCCATCCACACGCTAAGCAGTAAAAAAAAAAGTGAAGAAGACGAGGAAGATGAACAATGACGAAAAAGACGATGATGATGCAATAATTTGATGATAAAGGAGACGATAATTATCTGCTGACCTGTTGCTGTGCTAGCGTCGCTACCCTCATCTTCTGAAGGCTCTGGGACTTCAGAGGCAGGTGGTTCTATGAGCATTTCCTGACGTTTGCCTGCAACACAATAACTTCACGTGTAAGATCTCGTATGTTTCATTGAGCTATCAATGTAACAGGTAATAATATGCATAATAATTTTTTTTTAAATATATACGGTGCCGTCTCCATAGTGGGGTTTGGATACAGGGTAAATCTGCCCACTTGTATCTCTATCTCTGAGCGCACATTATCCACCCGCACGTCCGTTCAGGTGGCTGTCTGTCCGTTCGCAAACCCCCGTGCGTCCGTTGTTTCGTCCGTCGTCCGTCTGCCTGCCTGCCTTTTTTGTCTGTCTGTCTGTCTGTCAGGTCTGTCTGAACCGTGTAAGCCCATGAACTTTGAACGTGTCGAACGACAGAACAATCAATGTTAATAACGGCACCTCCGTGAGCAAAATTTCAAGGAATTAAGGCTTGAACTTCTGTCTCAACCACCGGGCCTTGTTGTCTCACATTCTCTGTCCGGGTTTGTGTGGACTGAATAGGATGTACACCCCTCTGATGGCACCTGTACCCATTCCTCATCAGATTTGATATCTTCAGTGAACAAAGTTGTTAAATATTGTCCTCAGCCTGACCCACCCACTGTGCGTGGTATGTATCGACATTGATATGCACGTGCTAGGCCCGGCCAAGACCGTCTCTAGCTGACGGGTCATGCAGTTGACGTCACCAAACCAGGCTAACCATACGCTAACGCAGCGTTTCTTAAACTATTTTTTTTTTTTTTTTTTTTGGCCAGGCAAAGAAAATTTTGCGGCACACCTACCCTTAAAGCGGTTTGAATATTAAAGAACGAAAAAAAAAAAAAAAAAAAGAACGAAAAAAAAAAAAACAGTGCACATTTTATGTCAGGCAGATTTTGAAAAATTCTGAATTATTGCCGCTCTCGGTACCCCTAAGTGCCGCGGTACCCAGTTTGGGAATCGCTGTGTTAACGTATTGTCAGCCCAGTTTGCTGACGTCAGCGGCAAAATCCCGTCAGCCGGAGCCGGTCTTGGTCCGGCTCGGTAGCTCAGTTGGTTAAACCTGACTGCGCTGCGACTGGGTGTAAAACTCATTATGGTCTGGATTCACACTTGGGGGTAGGCAGAAAAGTTAAATTTCTCCGAGATTTACGGTACTTATCGTGGAATTAGGGCCGAAGGTTTGCACTATCCATATTACCGAGCCAAAGAGTCAACAACTCATGGTTTCTGAATATTAAAAAAAAAATACGCAGATGCTGTGCAGATCACTGTTCTCACATCCACGGTTGGAAGACCAAGGAGGTAACGTATCGCTTGTGCAATCAACCCGCTTCCCGCCTGTCTCCTGGGTTGGAGAACCACTTGTCTGACCACCAACCTACCTATGCTACAGAAACTATGTAAGGAAAGAAAGGTGAATTGATTGGCTGTTATGTGGTTCTACTTTCTTATTTTACTCTCAGTGGTGTATCATTGTTCCTTTAAACGGTAGAACAATCCAACGCCGTCTCTAATAAAATAAAATTAATGAAACTATAATTTGTATATACTTCTCGTTAAAAAACTGTTAACACAGAGGGACTCCATTCTTGCACAAGAACGGGAATCCACCTTGACCTGTTTGGCCTATAAATAGAGAAGTCCGTGGACACTCATATTGTGACAGACTCAAAAATACACGCCTTATTTTAGGTTATCAATTGGAGACGGCTTCGAAACTAGAAATATCGGGATGGTCAAAGTGCATTTGTAACCAACAAGCCACGGAAAAATAGAAAAATATTAGATTATGCAATATGAATGTCGCATTCAACGTTAAAAGAGTGGTTTGCATGTTGTGGTCTACAGCTAGGCTGCGATTTCTTGCTTTTTCGGCCCAAAACAACCGATTTTAGTAAACCCGAAATGGACTGGCACAATACAACGTGGACTCACGAGGTCCTCAGAAACAAACCGAACATGACAGACACAGTTCGCACTCTTCAACACCAGGAATCAATCCTCCTCGAACGTCGTTTTTTTACCAGTGTAACAACGAATCACGTCCTCCTGTCTCCAGTCTATAAAACAATGAGTGAAAATGTTCACACGGCTCTCTTTCTCCCACTCTCTATTCACACAGCTCTTGTCCCACTCTCTATTCACACGGCTTTTTGTCTCACTCTTTATTCACACAGCTCTATGTCCCACTATTCACACTCCTCTCTGTCACACTCTCTATTCAAAGGGCTCTCTGTCCCACTCTCTAATTAAACAGCTCTTTGTCCCACTCTCTATTCACAAGGCTCTCTGTTCCGCTCTCTATTTACAGGTATCTTTGTCCCCCTCACTATTCACACGACTATCTGCCCCACTCTTTATTTACACGACTATCTGTCCCACTCTCTATTTACACGACTCTCTGTCCCACTCTCTATTCAAAGGGCTCTCTGTCCCACTCTCTATTCACACGACTATCTGTCCCACTCTCTATTTACAGGGCTCTTTGTCCCACTCTCTAACGACACATTTAGCAGAACTACACCCTGTCAGAAATAAATCTTGGACACACATTTCTTAAGTCGCACAAGCTGCTGTGGAAGGGCTGCTTCTTTCAGTTAGGTCCGGTCTGGACACACAAATATACACAACTTACCATGCCACTCGAGCTGGTGCTCACAACCGTATCCTCAAGTCCAGTTTTCTTCAATCATATATCCCTTTCTAACACACACTAACAGACACACATCAGGTGTCCAGTTAAACATTTTTTGCCACCCTCGTCTTTTACGACCTGCCTAATAACCCAACACCTGTCCGATGAACCAGCCATAAGCTTTTCACTCAGGTCGTAAAAGTAGTCGACTTATCTAATTTGCTATCGTAGCGACAATATAACACCATCTCACAGTACCTGTTGCAAAGTCAGCATATGTCTTGTCCCTGTCGAGTCTAATTTTTTTTTTAAAGTAAGTAAAAGTAAAGGACCCTTTTCAGCGCATTTAGGCGTATAGGGCATATAGGACTAGACCTATCTTTTATAGACCAATCGGCACAAGATGGGTGAAGATGTCAGCGTCACGCCGGCCGCCTTGACTTCCTGGGACTGCACCCGGTACCCACTCAAGGCTGGGTCGACCTGGGAGCCACAGTCATTTTTTTTTAAAGTCCGGCTCCCCCAGGGAGCGAACCCACGACCTTCCGATCCGCAGCGAGCGTCTAGCTGCTCCGCCGCGGCGACTCCCGCGTCTGATAAAGGGTAGCAGAAAAAGATCAGGGCCTGGATTCATGACCCAGGTCAGGCCCACCTTCAGAGATTGAAAAGGAAGTAATGGGCCGAAACAATCGTCGACAAAGGATCTGTCTACTGATGACTGTGGACCCCTGCTGGGCACGATCCTCTGTGGGGGTCTTCTAACTGGCAAATGGTTTATCTTTCGTGACACATTAGTGTGTCGGCATACGTGTGAAAGTAAAGGTAAAGGTAAAGTTGGGAGACGTGTGAATGTAAAGGTAAAGGTAAAGTCGGGAGACGTGAACCAGCGTCATTGCACACGGTTATAAACCATAAGTGCTCTGCCACCAGTACGGACAGGTGATAACGATTGTCCGCCTGTTTCACCATTCGCACGTAACTCTGTAGCTACAACGACGTTCCTCCATTTACCCCACAGTGTCAACTCTGGTACCCATTTCCTAGAGGCTGGGTGAACCCCGGGAGCCGCCCGGTTTTGAACACCGACCGTGGGCTGCAGCGAGTCGTAGCTGGATTTGACAGCCAGCCTCTTATCGACTGAGCTAACGCGGCCTCTCAAGCATGTGAAAGTGTTTCGCGCGAACATGATTTACACGTGTCAGTATCTGTTATAAGGAGTTAGTCAGACCTTTCGTATGTTTGTAACTCAAATTAGTGTTCAAAAGTATGCAAGAAAAATGAAAAGTTTGGAAAGCTCTGCTCTACAGAATAATTATAATTTAATATATGGTAGATGCGAATTCCTTACAACAATAAACAATGCTACAAGATAGTGTTAAAACAGATGCAGATAAGAAATTAGGAATGCTAAAAACAGGCAATTAATACAAACGTTCTTCCTCCGGGTGTGGTTGCGGTGACTTGGGCAGAATCAACACAAACACTATCATCAGCAGCAGGAAGCACACAATAATGACAAACAGATATATCCAGTGTGGTAGGAGGAACATATTGAAATCTGTTTCAAAGAAATAAACATAAATAGTGAGGACAGATAAACATTGCTGTAACGTATGGATAAAGATAAATATTACGAACGGGTTTTGGGTAAAGATAAATATTACTGTAAGGTTTGAGGAAAAATCAACATTACGGTAACATTTAAGGAAAGTTTTAAGAAAACAAAACCTGTTAAGAAAAGATACATATAACTGCTAAGAAGAGATAAAGGTAACAGTTGAGAAAGGTCATTGATAACAGTGCATAGAGGATGAATATAACTGTTAAGGAAAGATAAAATCATTGTTGAGACAGGATAGACACAACTGTTGAGGAAAGATAAATATATAACAGTTGAGACAGGATAAGCACAACTTTTGAGAAAAAATGCTAAAGGAAAATACACGTGCTGCCCGGTGCAGAGAATTCCAGAGAAATTTGACTAAAAAGATCAACAGAATGGGGAAGCAGAAAAACGTGCACAAAACAACACAACGTAACATTTCGGCCGGGCAGCCTTTTTCAAACATAAGTGAACTACACACGTAACAACAAGGAGAGTATGTAGATTTCTAAGGGGTGACGTGAGCAACGTTTAAAAAAATGTAATGTGGAATAAATGAAAAAAAAAAATAAATAAATAAACGATGGTTAAAAAATATAGTCACACAAATAATAATATAATACTTGGAATAAAAGAAATACAAATGTTAATGATACATAAATGATATTGATAAGAGATAGAATAAAGTAATAATATGAAATAAAAGAAAATAAAAGAAAATAATGAACATTTAAAATTTGATAAGAGTAGAACTATTTAGATCACCCCATATTTCTGCCCGATGCAGGCTGATTGGGAAGTTCCAGGTCTGACCGTACTGGTCGTTACGGTAGTCAACTTATCTAATTTGCTACCGGAGCTACAACATAACACCAAATCTCACAACACCTAGGTGCTGAGTGTTCACGAGAATAAAGCCCGCGTCGAGAGCTAGAGGTCCCAGGTTCAATCCCCGGTAATGGCTGACATTTTTTTTAACGTGGACTTGAACTTCAAGTTATTCCCCCTGGTCTCTGGGTAGTGAGATCTGACGCCCGTGTGCATTTTTGCGCACGAAAAAAAAAATCCTTTGCAGGTTGGAAATTGAAAAGAGTAGATTAATGGCGCTGCCCGGGCAAAATCAGACTTGAGTTAGAAGAAGAACGGAGCGCTTATGGCCACTTATGTGCCATGATGTTGATCCTTTCTTTAAACCTCACAACACCTGTTGCAAAGTCAATATATCGTCTTGTCCCTGGCGGGTCCGATAAAATGCAGCAGGAAAACATCAAGGCTTGGAGTCATGACCCAGGCCAGGCCCACCTTCCGGAATTATATAGGAAGTAATGGGCCGAAACAATCGTCGACGATGACAGTGGACTCCTACAGTAAATGCTCCTCTATGGTGCTTTCTTATCATATTATGATTCATACGAATGATGTCGCCTATGCAACGTAAACAGCTGTGATGTAGTGGTTAGATGCTCGCCTACCGACCTGAAGGTTTTGGGTTCAAATCCGCGTAGCCTGGTATTTTTTTTTTAAATTATCATCGACCTCGGGTCATATGAGCCTAAACTGGATAACAGTTGATGACCTGTGAAACCAAGACGGTCGGCGTTATGTTGACTACATCCACCGTCAAGTGCCGATATTGTGTGTTTAAAAAATATATATACTGTATCATACGCCTGGTGCGTCACTGGTATATGTGCTAGCGGGAAGAAAGAAAAGGTAAAACACGAAAGTTAAGGAAAATTGTGATTAGGACAAAAAGTAATAGCTCCCTGCTGAACAGTAAAAAACAGGAACAGTAATTAAAAGACAAGAGGTTCTTCTCTGCAGGGGTCCTAGAATATTCCACCAAGACCCAGAAAAGGGATATCTGAGCAAATCTATGTTACACAAACTAACACACAAGATGGCTAACCACACCTAGACGAACTACGTGCACGGACTGCAGATCATAAATTGAACCAAATAAATTAATTATAATCATCACATTAAACAATCTTCGAGCCAACTCTGCGGTATCAGTGCCACACCTAGACAATGGCAGAAAAACAGAAGGCAAAAATAACAACTGAAATGAGATTCTTGTGAAGGGCTGTTAATGTAACAATAAGAGATAAGATCGGGAATGAATAAATTTAACGGAAAATGGTGGTAGCCGGAGCTCTGTATTTCATCAGAAGTCAACGAGCTAAATGGTTTGGTCACATAACGCGGATGTCAAGAAACAGTATACCACATCAATCAATAATGTACAGACTAGGCGGAAAGCGAAAAACAGGCCGACCATGCAAACTAAGGACACAGAGAATGGCAGAATTCACGGGAATCCCCATTTACGAAGCGCATAAACGGACATTCCCGTAAATTATATTTTCCCTCGACGTCGCAAGGTATCAGATGATCAATGTGAAGATGAGAGAGATACATTTGTCCCGAATTTTATTGGCAAAGTAATTTTTTGACGTGTTTATTGAAGGGGAAAAAAAACATCCACTTGAGTACATACTTTCACACGTGTCTCCTTCGTACGGGGCCTCACAGTTAAAGCAATGGCCAGTAATGTTGTTACACATTTGATCTTTACAGCTTTCAGGGCATTTCATGGCGCACAATCTACCGTAATATCCTTTGGCGCATTCTGAAATAAACGTGTATTCTGTTGTTGATGGTGACCACAAATGAAAATTAAAATTTTTTTTTCAACCCTTTGGGTGTCGGAGTCTCATTTATGGATGAGTAATAGATGGGTTATGAAAAGGGAAGTTGACAGCAGGGTAAACCAAGAGTTGAGTTGAATTGAATCAAGAATTGACATCACAGCACTCGGGGCATTCCCATACATGTTCTGTCCTCATCTTCAGCAGCCAGCACAGAATTCTCATACTGATGGAACCGGTCACAATTTGTTTAAAAGTCCATCTTGCCTTTCCACTTGGTGTTATGAGCCAGCCTGGCCCTCTGGTTACACCCATGTTCCTCATTCTCTCCAGGCCATAATCTTCTTTCTCTACTTATTCCGTTGCTTATTCCCAAGGGCCTTGACCAGATCTGCCTTGTCATGTATCAATTCACCAACCGGATTCAGGTGCGGATCCAGCCACTCTGTCTGCCTGTTCATTACCCACCACGCCGGAATAGCCTGGAGAAAAGATCCAAAGTATGCTAACCACCCATGACCTTTCCAGTGAAGCTAGCCACTCTTCTCGAAGCATCCCTGTCTTTTCCTTTTTCAGCATAGGTAGACCAAGAACACAATAGAAAGCTAACATCAGAGAAACTCTACAGCTGCACCACATGTCAGTGATCGAGTCGACCAGAAGAGCAGGAAGCAGAAACTTCAAGCAAGAAACAGAAACGTTAAGAAAGACAGAACAAGTGATATCTCTCTCGACACCCTAAACGGAACTGAACGAGAAGAAGAGTGCTAATAATATATTGCTTGGGCAGAACAGTCACACATAATAAACACACAGAAAATGCTTTCTTGGGCCACATAGTCAGGAAATTTTGCACCTCAGCATTACATTAAAAGAAAAGCTGTCTCTTACCCTTTGACCTTTCCAGCTTGGGAGACCCTGCTGGTAGCTACGCTATCGCGGGCATAGCTCTCGGGGAGAAACACAAGCTACCCCACCGCGGCAAGAAAGGTAAAAGATGAATATACAAGGGAGCTGAATGGTCGAAGACCACGAGACAGACCAAGAACACGATAGAGAGATAACGTCCAGACAGACCTGAAAATACTTGGTGTCT